TATAACCCTATACAAATATTAAGATATATAACCCCTCCTTCACAACCCAACATATAATGTACCCCCCAATCCAGCAAAGTACTTAAACACAAATAGTGGAATTACTCATGTATTTAAGGTTGTTGGTGGATTAATTTATCACTTTGTTACAATGCTAACATCTTAATCCTTATTTTAACAGATCTGGATTTTGCTAGTCTTGCTCGAGGTTTTGCACTGCTGAGGATGCCAAAGATGCCTGAACTAAAAGGAAAGTGTTTTCCAGACTTTGCTCCTATCAGTATTGACACAGACTCTATTCCTTTTAAAGATAAAAATAGAGAAAAACAAAGGCAAAAACTGTTAGAGCAAAAAAGAAAGGAAAGACTTGAAAATGAAGGGAAAAGAAAATTTATAAGGAATAAAGCCTGGTCAAAGCAGAAAGCCAAAAAAGAGAAGAAGAAGCAAATTACTATGAAAAGGAGAAGAGAGGAGGTAAACTGAGTTCCTCAAACTCACATGTGACTGCTTCAATTTAGTTCCAGCCATGTTAGCATGTAACACTCCTGAAAGGCAACAGGGCATAAGGACTTCAGGGCATGTCTTCACTACCTCCTGGACTGACAGGAAACAATAAATTAAGCAGGGAGGGAGTTGATTTATTGTGTATATAATAGGGATATGAACGATTAGTCGACTATCCAATAAGGAAATGCTTATGCTAGTCGACTAAGTCCCGCTCCTTCTGGGAGCAGGCACCTAGCCAACACAGGCTGCCCCAGGGTTGGACCAGGATCCTGCATTAGGAAGGCAGGATAAAGGACCTACTGAAGGTAAGGAGGTGGTCTGGGTTCTGCAGTGTCATAGAGGATAGGGGGTTTGCCTGGGGAGCACAGGATAGTGGGTTCAAGGCCCAACCCTCCCTTCACACACCAGGAGTGCCCAGACAGCCACTGGCTGCCCTTCCATCAGAGGCAGCAAGGCAGGAGAAGAGCAGGGGTGCTTCATAGTGGCAGTGCCACATGGAGCCCAAGGTCTGCTGCCCTAAAACACCAGCTTGGGGCCAGCTGGCACTCTCCAGCTGGTCCTGGGCTTCACATGGCATTTCAAAGCAGCAGCACCTACATGGAGCCCAGGGTCAGCTGGGGACTTGAAGACCCGAGCTGACCTCAGGCTCCATGCAATGCTGCTGCCTTGAAACACTGCAGAGAGCACAGAGCTAGCAGAGGGCTGCTTGAGTCCCCTGCAGTGCCCCCACCTTGGAAGTGTAGAAACAGTCTTGGGGATGTTGCTACACCTCAAAGGCAGAGATGCCCTTATCAACTAATCAAAGTCAATGCAAATTGCATTAACCATTCAGTTAGCACATTAATTGAAATTTTACATCCCTAGTATATAATAGATGCAATAAATCAACTGCTGAGGGTTCTCCTGTAGACTCAGGTACTCTACCAAATGAGGAGAATAAGAGGCATCAATAGGAGAGCATCAGTAGAGTTGACAGGTGAAGATACTGCAGTAAACAGACCCAAGTATATCATGTTCAGCTAAGTTATTTACATAGCTGAAGCTGCATAATTTAGGTTGACAGCCCGCAGTAGTGTAGACAAGGCCAGAGAATTATCTTTCCACACTGATTGCCTGCTACCCTAAAGGCAGCACTTCATGAATTCAAAAGCAAGTTCCACCCAGGCCACTCCTTAGAGCTGTAAACAGTCTGAAATGAAGGGAGCTGTAGTGTGAATTTCTTGCTTTCTGTGCCTAAGAAAATATGTGATCAATCTTCTATAGAGAAGGATGAGGTTCTGGTCCTTGCCTGACTTCTGTCAGCATATTCCTGTTTGAAGCCTCCAATAGAAATATGGTAAGATAAGCCTCCACAGCTTTCACAGGCTGAGCTTTCTAGGTATAGTCCAAAATGAGCAATATGTAGGAAAAACATTGATTCACATCTTCCTAGACAACTTCCCCTGGAGCAAGAGGTGAAACTGCTCACTCATGGCAGTTGGTCAAACTCTCTATATTCCCTGCAAGTGTAATGTTTTTTTTTTTTAGCAAAGTTCTTAAAATCTGTAATCTTGCCCTTAATCTTATTTGGGATTTCCTTTAATATGGTAACAGTTGAACGAACAGGAAAAATGAATGCCATGATTGGATTCCCTTGCATTAACATGAAAATATTTAATTGTTCCCCATTTCCTCTTCTGTTGCTAAAATATAAAAACATAAGAATGACCATACTGGGGCACACTAAACGTCCATCTAGTCCAGTATCCTGTTTGCTGACAGTGGCCAATACCAGATGCTCCAGGGGGAGTAAATACTACAGGTAATCATCACGTGATCCCTCTCCTGTCATCCATTTCCAGACTGAGGCTAGGAACACCATTCCTACCCATTCTGGCTAATAGCCATTAATGGACCTAATCTCCATGAATAGTTCTCTTTTTTGAACCCTGTTGGAGTTCTAGTCTTCTCAACATCCTGTGGCAAGGAGTTCCACAGGCTGACTGTGCGCTGCGTGAAGAAAACATTTATTTTGTTCGTTTTTAAACCTGCTACCTATTAATTTCATTCGGTGACCTCTAGTTCTTATATTATGGGAACAAGTAAATAACTTTTCTTTCTTTAATTTTTCCATATCAGTCATGATTTTATAGACCTCTTTCATATCCCCCCTTAGTCTCCTCTTTTCTAAACTGAAAATTCCCAGTCTTTTTAATCTCTCTTCAGTTGGGGTATATGTCAAGCCCCTAATAATTTTGTTGCCCTTTCCTGACCTTTTCCAGTGCCAATACATCTTTTTTGAGATGAGGTGACCACATCTGTACACAGTATTCAAGATGTAGGCATATCATGTTTTTTCTCTGTCCCTTTTTATAAGCTTCCTAACATTCCTTGTTTGTTCTTTTGACTGCCGCTGTATACTGAAGGTATGTCTGCACTGCAAGGCTCTTTCAGGATAATCACATCCTGCGTCTCCACAAACTGCCTGTTGTTTTGAAATATTTTTTTAAATAATGGGCACACTCTATTGTCATCCTGGTAAACCTCTTTGCACGAGGGTAAGGGATGGCACAAAACAGTGCCTTATTTCAAAATTTGGTGCTCTCTAGATGTGCTTCATTTCAAAAAGCTATTTTGAAATATGATACGCAATTTGCACAGTGCAAATTGCGTAGCTTATTTCGAGTTTAGGGTGCTGTGTAGACACACCCTATGTGGATGTTTTTAGAGAACATAGTGAAATCATTCACAATAATTTCAAGATCTCGCTTGAGTAGTTCTAGCTAAATTAGTCCCCCTCATATTGTATCTATAATTTGGGATTATTTTTTCCAATGTGCATTACTTCACATTTATCAATATTAAATTTCATTTGCCATTTTATTGCCCAATTACTTAGTTTGAGATCTTTTTGATGCTCTTCACAGTCTGCTTTGATCTTAATTATCTTGAGCAGTTCAGTGTCGTCAGCAAATTTTGCCACCTCACTTTTCTCCAGATCATTTATAAATAAGTTTGATATGCGTGGTCCCAGGAAAGACCCGTGGGGGACACCACTAGTTACCTCTTTCCATTCTGAACACTTACCATTTATTCCTACCCTTTGTTTCCTGTCTTTTAACCAGTTCTCAATCCAAGAAAGGACCTTTCTTCTTATCCCATGACAGCTTATTTTACTTAAGAGCCTTTGGTGAGGGACTCTGTCAAAGGCTTTCTGGACTTTTAAGTACACTATTTCCCCTGGATCCCCCTTTTTCCACGTTTGTTGACCCCTCTCAAAGAACTCCAGTAGTAAGGCATGATTTCCCTTTACAGAATCCATGTAGTCTTTTCCCCCAACAAATTATGTTTATATATGTGTCTGACAATTATATTCTTTACTGAAGTTTCAACTAATTTGCTCTGTACTGATGTTAGACTTACCAGTCTAATTACCAGCATCACCTGTAGAGCACTTTTTAAATATTGTCATCACGTTAGCTATCTTCCAGTCATTAGGTACATTTTTTAACTCTTATTGATATGTTATGTATTATCCTTCAGTATTGCTATATTAGGTTATCCAGGATATGTGCATAATGGATGACAGCAGCACAATTCATGTATTAAATCACCAGTGGGTTTTTTTTTTTTAAAGGGCTACTTCTGAAGTGTTCTAATATATGGAACATAAGCATTTCAGTTCAAGAGTAAGTTTTACTGTTTCAACTGTCTGCAGGGCTCTAATATTGAAGATGAGGAAATGGAGGAGCTGCTGAATGACACTCGACTTTTGAAAAGGTTAAAAAAGGGTAAAATTAGCGAGGAAGAATTTGAGAAGAAACTGATGAGCAGTGAGAAAAAAATCAAGGCTGTGTCTAACTCAGAGTCAGAAGATTGACAGTCCTCCTCCAAGCACCTCTTTGAAGATGCCTCTCATGATAGCAAAGCTGTACTTTAACACCAAGCCATTTCATGCTGTGCTCTGCAGCCTGAGCTTTCATAAATTCTAAGTGTTTTCTACAAGAATCTCTGCAATCTCTACAGGGGATAAAAATAGCTACACCTGTGAAGACACAACTACATCAGACTGTTGTTCCAAAACTGAATGCTTTGGGTAAGAAATGTAAAATTTGGTTATTAGGTGCCTCCTGGACACACTCTCTGTTCAAATGTATACATAACATATCTGGGATTATTAAGTAATTTTAAACTTGTTCAAAAGTCTGTTGTATGAGTGAGGCAGTTTAGGTGTTTTTATTTTACATGCTCAAAATGCTGCACCCCTAAGGACATTTATTTTAGGTCTTCATATTCTGCAGTGACTTACACTTCTGTTTGAAAATTAGTCAATTGATATATAATAAATGAATTCAAAATCTTCTGCTTTGTTGTAACAATCAGGAGGCTGCTGATAATGAGGTTAATCTTTATACAGTTTCCTTTGTATAATATGTTGGGATAGTTTATATATGTATCAAACTGCAAATATGAAGGATGGCCATTGAATAACAGAGCATAATGTTCAGTGATTCTGCTCCATTACAAATAAAGTTTAATAAGTTCATCACTGACAGCTGATGGAGTTAACACACCTAGGTCTGTAAACAGCAATGTAATTAGTGATGGTGAAGTGTAGTCAATCCAGGGATGCTCCTCAGTTAGACTTCCGTTTTTTTTCAGGGTGTCTGCTTTGTACTGGGGGAGAAGAAAACCATTAGCTATCACAAAATGATATGCCCTAATCTTTTTTTTTTTTTTTAAAGCTCAAATAACAATGGCCTCAATCAAACTCTATGGACATTAGCTGTAGCTGATACTACCCACTGATCTAATCAAAGCACAGATTGGTGCCACCTATTACTAATGTAGATGATGAAGTGGCAGTACATGAGGTTTATAGTTCTGAAAAGTTTCCCTTGATACAGCCATTTTACTGTCAATATCTTTTTGTACTGAGCTGTTTCAGGAACAATATGGTGGCAGCAATTAGGAGAAGCACTGCTGTTTCTGGCAGTTTGGTTTAGGATACATGGATGAAATGCTTTTCAGTAATACAAAATAATAAAATGAGCAAGTGGTGAGGGAGTCCAAATTGGTGAACACTTCTTTTTAAACTATATTGTGTTGTTACAGGTCAGGCGTGGCTTTGGTTCATCCTGGATAAAAAATTTAAATTATGTTTTCAGTTAATTGTAAATTCACAGCTAAGGTCTTAATTTAATAGTACTACTTGCTCATAGAACCAATTTACATTCACCTTTGCAGATTAGAAAGTATTCTGGATTTCCCTTACCTTAAACTTATCTGGGACATCCTGTTGATTTAGAGGGAAGAGTCTTACAAACTTAAAGCTTTCTGCTACCACATAAAACGGTTTATTCTGAGCTTTAGCGCACACGGCCATTTGATTTGTACCAATCTGTGGAGACAATTTAGATGGAAAACAGTGTTAGTGCTAGAATGACAGTAAACTTGCAAGGCTCCAACCAATACTCTTCAAATGTATTTAACACCTGAACTAAAAGCACCTCTGAAAAGACCAGAATTATTTGTAGAAAACAAGCTTAAGAAACAGAGCGTTTTACGTGTGGACTATTACAAGTCACAGCACACCTGTGATGTAGGTAAGTATCCTCATTTCACAAATCAGGTGACTGATGAACAGAGGAAGCAGTTGTACAAAAGGCAGCAGAAGCCAAGAGTCCTGACTTCCACTCTGCATTCTGAGAGAGTACTACCTGCCAGTGTGTTTCAGGTCAGGAAAGTTACATACTTGTTTATTCTAACCAGGTTTCATACGTAATACACTCTTTTAAGCCAAAAAAACCCAAAAAGTCTTCTACCTACCAGCTCTTAGCTACTTTGTATACTGTTCTACTTCACATATCAATATGAAGATTTCAAACACATTTTTTTAAAGTAGATAAGGCAATGAATTTATTTTGCTTAACAACATAAGAACAGTCATAATTAGGCTATGTCTAGACTACATGGCTCCGTTGACAGAGCCATGTAAGATAGTTTATTTGGCATAGTCAAAGAAGCGATGGAGCCATGTAGTCTAGATGTAGCCTTAGTCAGACCAAAGGTCCATCTAGTGTAGTAACTTGTCTTCTGATAGTGGCCAGTGCCAGCTACTCCAGAGGAAATGAACAGAATAAGTAACCATCAAGTGAGCCCTCCCCTGTCATCCATTCCTAGCTTGTGACAGAGATAGGGACACCACTCCTGCTCATCCTGGCTATTAGCCATTGATGGACCTATCTTCCTTGAATTTATCTAGAACTTTTTTGGAATCCTGTTATATTCTTGGCCTTCTGGTAGGGAGTTCCATGGGTTGACTGTACATTGTGTGAAGAAATACTTCCTTTTGTTTATTTTTAAACTTGCTCCTATTTATTTCATTTGGTGACCTCTATTTCTTGTGTTGTGGGAACAAGTACATAACTTTTCCTTATTTACTTTCTCCACACCATTCATAGTTTTATAGACATCTAGCCTGACCCCCTCCCTTTGTTGTCTCTTTTCCAAGATGAAAAGTCCTAGTCTTACTAGTCTCTCCTTATGTGGCAACCATTCCAAACCCCTAATAATTTTTTTTGCCCTTTTATATTGGCATTGGAAAAAGTTTATATCTTTTTGTGATGAGGTAACCACATCTCCATACAGTATTCAAGATGTGGGTGTACCATGGATTTATATAGAGGCAATAAGATATTCTCTTGTGGTTTTTCCTCTATGGTTATGTCTAGACTGGCCCCTTCTTCGGAAGAGGCATGCTAATTTCTAACTTTGGAATAGGGAAATCCGCGGGGGAATTAAATATCCCCCGCGGGATTTAAATAAACATGGCCGCCGCTTTTTTTTTCCGAGAGCGTC